TTTATAGTAAATCTTGATGTTGGGTAGTGTCCTCAAAATTTGTTCTTCTCCTTCAATATTGTTTTGGCTATTCTGGGTCTTCTGTTTCTCCATATAAACTTTAGAATAAGTTTGTTAATATCTGCAAAATAACTTGCTGAGATTATGATTGAGATTACATTGAATCTATAATTAATTTGGAAAGAACTGACATAAGGACAATATTTAGTCTTCCTATCCATAAACATGGAATATCTCTCCATTTATTTAGTTCTTCTTTGATTTCTTTAATCAGTTTTGTAATTTTCCTCATACAGATCTTGTACCTATTTTATTAGACTTATATTTATATATAAGTATTTTATTTTGTAGGGTACTCTGCGCCTAGGCTGGAGTGCAGTGGCACAATCTTGGCTCACTGTAACCTCTGCCTGCCGGATTCAACCCCTGGCTCAACCTCCTGAGAAGCTGGGACTACAGGCGTGACCACGCCCAGCTGATTTTTGTATTTTTAGTAGAGATGGTTTTGCCACGTTGACCAGGCTGGTCTCAAACTTCTGACCTCAGGTTATCCACCTGCCTCGGCCTCCAAAAGTGCTGGGATTACAGGTGTTAGCCACCACACTCGGCCTGTGTTTTTAATTTCAAGTTCTACCTGTTCTAGGAAAGTGATTGACTTTAGCATATTAATCTTACTATCAGCTGTATCAGCTCTTGCCTCATGTATTTTGATGCTTTCTGTTTTGGAAGGTTATTACTGATTCCTGCAACCTTGCTGTAATCACTTACTAGTTTTAGGAGTTTTTAATCAATTCTTTTGAATCATATCATCTGCAAAGATAGTATTTGATCTTTTCAAATCTGTATACTTTTTATTATCTTTTTGTCTTTTATTACATTAGTTAGGACTTCCAGTATGATGTTAAAAAACAGTGATGAGAGGCAACATTCTTAACTTTTTCCTGATGCCAGTGGGAAAACTTCAAGTTTCTCATCATTTAGAGTAATGTTAGCTGTAGGTGTCAAATTGAGGAAATCCTTCTCTATTCCTAATTTACTAAGAATTTTTTTTTCCACAAATTGCCATTGGATTTTGTCAAATGCATTTCCTGCATCTGTTGATGATGTCATGTGATTTTTCTTCTTTAGCCTGTTGATGTGATATTAACTGATTTTTGGATGTTGAACTAGCCTTGCATAACTGGGGAAAGTCCCAATTGATCATTGTGTATAATTCCTTTTATACGTTGTTGAATCTGATTTGCTAATATTTTGTTGAGGATTTTTGCACCTGTGTTTATGAGAGATGCTGGTATGGTGTGTAGTTTCTTTTCATGTAACGTTGTTTTCTGGTTTTGGTATTAAGGTAATTTTGGTTTCACAGAATGAGATAGGAAGTATTCTTTTGGCTTTTGTCTTCTGAGAAATATTGTAGAGTGTTGGCATAATTTCTCCTTTAAATGTCTGGTAGAATTCAACAATGAACCCATCTGTACCTGATGCTTTCTTTTTTAGAATATTAATTATTGATTCAATTTCTTTACTACATATAGGCCCTGTGCAGATTATGTGATTTTTATTATTATTTTTTTCTTCTGCTTACTTTGGATTTGACTTGTTCTTCTTTTTCTAGTTTCCTGAGGGGGAAGTTTCAATTATTGATTTTAGATCTTTCTTCTTTTCTAAGGTATGCATTCAATGCTATGAATTTCCTTCTAAGTATTGCTTTTGCTGAATTGTAAACATTTTGATAAGTTATGGTTTCATTTTCATTTAATTCAGAATATTTTCAGGTTTCATCCAAGATTTCTCCTTTAATCCATGTGCTATTTTTGAAGGATGTTGCTTAGTCTCCTAGTAGTTTGGGGTTTTTCAGTTATCTTTTGATATTGAGTTCCAGTTTAATTCTACTGTGGTCTGAGAGCAGACAGTATATGATTTCCATTCTTTTAAATTTGTTAATTTTTTATGGTCTGGAATGTTGTTAAATGTTTCATGTGAACTTAAGAAGAATGTGTATTCTGCTATTTTTGGATGAAGTAGTCTCTAAGTGTCTATTAAAACCTGTCGACTAATGATGATACTGAGTTTCACTATGTCTTTACCAATTTTCTGCCTGCTGGTTGTGTCCATTTCTGATAGAGAGATGTTGAAATGTCCAACTATAATAGTAGACTCATCTGTTTCTCTTTGCACTTCAATCAGCTCTTGCCTCATGTATTTTGATGCACTGTTATTAGGCACATACACATTAAGGAGTGATTTATGTTCTTAAAGAATTGACCTCTTTATCATTATGTAATGCCTTTCTTTGTCTCTGATACGTTTCCTTGCTATGAGGGGTGGCTCTGTCTAAAATTAATATAGCTCCTCCTGCTTTTTAGAGTTATTGTTAGCATAGTATATCTTCCTCCACCCATTTACTTTTAATGTATATGTGTCTTCATATTTAAAGTAGGTATTTTTTGTAAACACGAGTATAGTTGGATCTTGTTTTTCAATCCACTCTGACAGTCTCTGTCTTTTCATTGGGGTATTTAGATTTAGACCATGGATGATTAAAATGATTATTGAGGCAAGCCATGGTAGCTCATGCCTGTAATTCCAGCACTTTGGGAGGCAGAGGCAGGCAGATCACCTGAGGGAGTTCGAGACCAGCCTAGCCAACATGGTAAAAACCCATCTCTACCGAAAATACAAAAATTAGCTGGGTGTGGTGGTGGGCACCTGTAGTCCCAGCTACTTGGGAGGCCGAGGCAGGAGAATCGCTTGAACCCAGGAGGCGGAAGTTGCAGTGAGCCGAGATCTGCACTCCAGCCTGGGTGACAGGGCGAGACTCTGCCTCAAAAATAAAATAACAAAATAAAATAAAATAAAATAACCATATTTGTTACTGCTTTCTGTTTGTTGCCTTTGTTTTTTGTTTCTATTTTTGTCTTTCACTCTTTTCCCACTCTTTATAGTTTTCATTGAGCAATTTTTATGATTGCTTTCTCTCCTCTTTTAACCTATCAGTTGTATTTTTTAAACTTTCTTTCAGTGATTGTCTTAGAGTTTGCAATATACATATAAAACCAATCCAAGTTCACTTTCAAATAACACTATAATACTTCCTAGGTATTGCAGGTATCTTATGATAACAAAATAATCCCTGTCTCTCCCTCATCTCTCTTGTATCATTGCTGTCATTTATTTTGCTTATATATGTGTATATAAACATATAGATATATACATTTATGGATACACGGGTGAATAAATTGTAGATATTATTTTAAACAAGTCATCTGTTAGATCAATTAAGAAAAATAAAAGGTTTTATCTTCACTTATTCCTTCTCTGATGCTCTACTTTTCTTTATGTAGATCTCGGTTTCTGATCTATATCTTTTTCCATCTCTCAACAGAAGTTATTTTAACATTTCTTGCAAAGCAGTTTCACTTTATTCATTAGAGCCCTCTGCATATTAGTCATGGTTGGTTTAAATTTCTGGTCTGATAATTTCAACATCTCTGCCATCTCTGTCTGGTTTGATGCTTGTTCAGTCTTTTCAAACTGTTTTTTTTTTTTGCTGTATAGTATGTTTTATAATTTTTTTCTTGATAGCCAGACTAATGTATGGAGTAAAAGGAATTTGACTATAAGTAGACCTTTAGTAATATGGTGGTCAGGTGTTGTGGGAGGGGAAGAATTCTGTAATCCTATGATTCGTTCTCAATCTTTTAGTGAGCCTATGCCTCAGGACCATGAATTTCACATATGCTTCTCATCTGCCTTTTTAGGTAGGACAGGATATGTGGATATCCAGTTTTTCCAGCACCATTAGTTATAACAATTATTCTTTTTGAATTGTCTTGGTACCTGTGATAATAATCAGTTTATTAAATATGAGAGTTTATTTCTGGATTCTTAGTTCTATTCCATTGATCTGTATGTCTGTCTCTATGCCCATACCAGATGACTTGCTTACTGTAGCTCTGAGTAAGTTTTCAAATTGGGAATTGTGAGTTTTACAAATTTGTTTTTCCTTATGTAAATGTGTGTGTGTGTGTGTGTATGGCTATTCTGGGTGCTATGAACTTCCTTAGGAATTTTAGGATCAGCTAGTCAACTTCTGCAAAGAAGGTAGCTGGAATTTTGATGGTTTTATTTCATTTTACATTGTCATCTTTTTCTTAGCATTGTCATTATGAAAAGGAATGGTATTTACTTGGAGTATTTTCCTGGTTTTCTTTTTTCTTTTGAAAGGCCAATGAGATTCCTATCTTCTCAAGCTGCTCCAAGATTATTTAAATATTGTTGTCACTATTTTCTGTTGTGAAATCTTTTCAGTCAATTAAGTAGAGGTCTTTCCCCATAACTCCCCTACACTAAAAAAATAGATTTTGTTTGCCTCTTTGTGTTTACCAAACAATAATTTTACTCTTATATTAATGTCTTAGATAAAAGATTGCAAGGCCTTCTGATGAGAGACCAAGCATATAGGGGTTTGTGTAGTAGAAAAACTGACTGAACTGGTAGGTAAAATAGCGATGTCTACCCAAAGCTCCATACTTCCAGGGATGTAATTTAAGAGTTTTATTATAAGAAAATTAAGTGAAATGTACTACTTAGTTATTTATTATTGTAGTAGTGGGGTTATTTTCTAACCAATTTACCTTAAGGATAATTTTTTAATGTAAGTAGTCTACTAAATATAGTAATTACTAAATATAGTAATCAGAATATGACGCATGTTTATACTGAATGAAAATAAATGGGATGAAATAAAGCTTTTAGAAATTAACATAGAATGGAGAGAGTATCTGGTATACCAAAGTGCTCAGTAAATATTGGCTGAATAAAGGAATGAATGAAAGGAAGCCCCTACATGAATCATTGTTTTTAAAGCCTAGGCCCCTACCTCAGGGATGAGTCTAGTTAATCTCTCAATTCAAAAGACTAAATCCTGCTTTCAAGGTAGATTGTTTTTTAGTGTTTTCAATTTTCTTAAAGGATAACCTGAGAGTTTCACATTTTTACAGCGTTTATGTCATGGTTGGTGCAGATGTCCCGTTTTCTTCTTGTTTACGAGAAGTTGAAAATCCACAGAATCAATTGCGATGTAGTCAAGAAATGGAGCCTGTAATAACATGTGATAAAAAATTTCGTACTCAATTTTACATTGACTGGTGCAAAATTTCATTGGTAAGTTTTTATTTTGTTTTTGCAAGTTTAATTAAAAATGATGTGACTGGAGTTAACATTTGACTAAAACCTGAATTGCTTTTAGGAATAAATCCTGGGTTTACTTGAACTGCAGTTGACTTCCCTTCAGATTAAGGATCTGGAAAGCTCATTGACAGTGCATCCATTTAGGAAAGAATATATCCACTTTTGTACTTATTCTGTCCTTGATTAGTTGCTGGGGCTGGATTAGCTTGGCAGGTGGTCCAAATGAACCCCTTGGACATCCATATAGCTGCTAATGAGCACAGATAATGGAGTTAGTATGATATGTGCAGAATGATTCTTCTTAAATATTCTGCCACTAACCCACTTTGGAAGGAGAGGATGGAGTACAATAATAAATCTGAAAATAAAGCAATATTGTGCTATGATTTAATGTTCTGAAAACTCAAATTATAGGGAAAGTCCAAGAAACAAGAGACAATTTCGAGTGAAGTTAGAATCTTACCCATAATTCATAAACATAATATTTCTTTCCAAATCACATTTGAATTTGCATGTTAACAGATTTAGGAAAATGTAAGGTTTCAAATATATGTAAGATGTGTAATATTTTATATATGTTTGTATATTTTATATTATGTCTGTATATAATATTTTGATCCTGTTATCTGAAAGGTAGGAGGGTTGTTTTAATTCTTTGTTTTTTCTTTTTACTTTTCATATTAATGTATCCAACTGATGTTTTAATTCTTTAGTGTCCTTTTAGATTTAACTTCTTTCAACTCTTTATGATTGGTGGTGAGTGAATTAGATCTAAGTTTAAAGCTGACATTTTAACAAAGTTACTGACACATAAACACAACTATCACTTCATGTCTTAGAGAGCCAGCTGCATCCTGGAGAACATATTACTCACACTGCAACACTTAGCACTCCTTGTGGCCTTTTGCCTTGAACTCTTCTTCTCATGCCTCTTGTCTCATGGCCTTTAGAAAAATGGCCTTCTTTGCCTTCCTAAATCAAGTAAAATTATTGTTATAGGCAAATATGCTCAATATTTCAATCATGGTGCTAATGATACAGGGGTACAGGAGACTGAGCAGCTGCAACCATAACTTAGATTCCTCTCCCAGCATCATCGGTGGACAGCAGACCCTAACAATGCCATGTTACTTGTGGTTGTTCTGGAAAATGAGTTTAAGACTATTACCCAATCTCTAAAAGTTAAAAAATGATATATACCTTGAAGATTTTTGTTTATCTGTTAAGGCTTTATAAGTGGAAAGGTTGGGAATTTTTATTTTTTATTTTACGTGTATTTATTTTTATGCCACATCTTGCCACAAAAGATTTCAGAAGGTTAAACAAGAGTCATACAATAAACATAATAAATAAAATATAAAAGAAGTGGAAAATCAGGACCTAAATTTCACCCCCCAAAAACAAGCATAAGGCTGTGTTGGACAACAAGCTGCCTAATGTGTAGGACAAAAAAATGAAATTCATATTTAGTTCTCATTCTAAAAAGGAGGCACATCAATTCCTTGGCAGAAAACAAGTTTTCACTAACACTATATTATTAACAAAATTTTTCTTGTTTTTTTTAAATTATACTTTAAGTTCTAGGGTACATGTGCACAACGTGCAGGTTTGTTACATATGTATACATGTGCCATGTTGGTGTGCTGCACCCATTAACTCCTCAGCACCCATCAACTCGTCATTTACATTTTGGGAGAAGATACTGAATAATGCTACAACTAATTCTCCCCAGCATTTTATTTTAGTAGCAAATGTAGTAGCAAATTTCACATGGCTACATTTTTAGTGTCCTTCAATAAAAACCTTAGCATAATTAAATGCAACTCAGTGAAAGCAGCACAGTTAATGTGGAGGTAAATTAACATAGTGCAACTGTTGTAGTTTTTTTTTGATCCTGGGATAGAATTAAGTAAGACTGGAATAGGTTCCATATTCCCTAGACTATCTTCCATAAAAGTTACTTCTGTCAGCTGGAAGGCAGAAAGATCAAGGACAACACGTTTGGAAATTGTCCCTCTTCCCACCCCCTCCCCCTCACACTCTTCTCTGTCGCTAACCTTAGAACAAATACGTGCATACCTGGTTTTCAGCCAGTTTTAGGTTTGGTAAAATCTGCACTTGAGCTTTGCCACTAGGAAATAAGACATTTACATGGTAGCGTAAAGGACTGCTGCTTTAGAGGAAGGAAACTGAAAACGAACAACTACACGCATAGGTACACACATGTTAAATATGTACACATGTAAATGTATATGTATATGTGTTTTAGGAAGAACATAGAAAGTAGACCAAAGTAAAGCCTTTATTACTTTCATTCATTACATTCCCTGCCTCCAATAAATACTTGCAAATTCACGGTGATAAAGTAATTGGAAAAGATGGCTTTTTAGACAATTTGTCAAAGAATGTTTTAGTGTATCCAGATCTTAAAATCTCATAATGTTTGCAATGATTAATTTGTTGTGTAATTGTCTTCTTTTGTATCAGGTTGATAAAACAAAGCAAGTGTCCACCTATCAGGAAGTGATTCGTGGAGAGGGGATTTTACCTGATGGTGGGGAATACAAACCCCCTTCTGATTCTTTGAAAAGCAGAGACTATTACACGGATTTCCTAATTACACTGGCTGTGCCCTCGGCAGTAGCACTGGTCCTTTTTCTAATACTTGCTTATATCATGTGCTGCCGACGGGAAGGCGTGTGAGTACTTTAAAACTAATAAGAAAATTAGAGATCCTGCTAAGATAACAACATAGAAGTTTCCATTAAAAGTGAAATTTCATTTTAGTTCATAAAACACTTTGTAAATGAATTGAAATTGTGTCCAAACTGCAATACTTTATTCCTTTAAAATGAATTAAAATAGTTTTGAGTCTAGTAAATCAAGTTAGGGGATATAATAACTTTATTCAAAAATTATTAAGGCTAGATGTAAATTCACACTGGCAAAACAGTCCCAAGAATAATTGAGGCTAGATATTCTGGTTATACAAGCCACCTTGTAATAAGTAGAGACTGCAGAATCTACTGACATAATAATTGCACTTAAAAAAATTAATCGTGTTAGTTTGACCAGAAGTGATGGTCAAAACTCTTGAAATCATTCTGCCGTCAAACAGGGTAACACAATCTAAATGTATAAAATATATTTTTAAAACCCAACGAAGGAGTAAATTAATGAAAATAAGGTATAATTTGAGTAACAACTCTTCACTTCATGAATAGTTAGTACTTTCAGGACATCTATGTCAATTAAGGTAATCTCCCAAGATTATCTGGAAGTCAGGGCGACAAAGGAAAGGATAAAAATTTAATAAAGCAGCAAGTAACAAATTCTTTCATTTTTACATGTAGCTTGATCTCATTATGTCATAGAGTTTATTTCAATCAAGGCCTTGATTCTTAATCTCCATTTTTTTTCATTTTTCTATGTGTTTCTCATCAGTATTCCATCGCTGTATGTGTACTCATCCAAGTAATGTCATAAACCTGGTGGCAAATGCTGCCTGGTTGCATTTAATAGTAACAATGTCAGCATTTCCACATCATGCAAGATCCCATGAGCATATAGTCTTAATGTTCCAAATATCAATGCTATTATTTAATTCATAAATTTTGTTTTGTTTCTAGGGAAAAGAGAAACATGCAAACACCAGAGTAAGTGTCTTCTTTCCTGTTATTTTCTTCATCATTTTTTCCCACCTCTCAGTTGCCCATCATGCTCCATACATGTGTGTCAAGCTTTTTTTCATTTGTCATCTTTCATAGTTTATTTCATAAATGTGAAAGCTGCTTTCTAAATAGAGATATTTAGGAGGGGTAGAAACTAAAACTAGAAAGGGTTTAATAAGATTATACAGATAAAAATAAAACCTAAAATATTTCAGATTCAGAATATTAACTTACCATTTATACTATGTGGTTTCCAATCTGCATTTCTATAAACCAGAGAACAGATGAAAAGACCTTTCATACAAGTTTTCCAGAATCTACAGTAATAACCTACCATAAAATGAAACTTCTGTGAGTATTTATAAATGCCCCACCAGAAGCAAAAATATAAAAGCTGTGGAAGTTTTATCTTAATCATAGAAAATAAATAGAAAACTAGTTTGTTACTTAGGACAGTAATATTAATACAATGCTTCATAGCTTAGTTTAATAAAACATGTATTTTAAAATCAGTTTATAATTTTTAGTTTTGTTACATTAAAAGTATGTGAGATGTATGACTTTCTGAAATAGTTTATTGAATGTCCAAAGTGCAATAATGTCTTGTTATTTTTAAAGATAAAAATACTTCATAACTTTTTCAAATTGATGACCCGTCAGGTTAATATATGATTTTAAATATATGTTGTTTTATTTCTTTTTGACCTAGCATCCAACTGGTTCATCACAGTGCTATTCAGAAATCTACCAAGGAGCTTCGAGACATGTCCAAGAATAGAGAGATAGCATGGCCCCTGTCAACGCTTCCTGTGTTCCACCCTGTGACTGGGGAAATCATACCTCCTTTACACACAGACAACTATGATAGCACAAACATGCCATTGATGCAAACGCAGCAGTAAGTGTCCACTTAGAGCCATAGTTATTAATATACATGTATATTTTTACTAATGTCTGTAAAGAACAGAGCTTTCTGTTGTTGTGTTGTTTGTTTGTTTATAACTGGAAGAGAAAATACCAAAAGGACATTAATTGTGTAAATCCCACCCCTACTGTCCTGACATATACAATACAGTTACTTTTAGGAAATGTGCTTTTTTTCCCCCCACTAATCCAAACAAGACTACATATACCTTAATATTTAAGAAATTGACACTGATGCTAAACTCAACATTACATGTTTGCTCAAAGATGAGTTAATTATAAAAAAAGAACCATATCCTAAGCATTTCAAATTGATTATTTTTAGAGATGTTAGAATTATTTGGTTTAAACCTATTAAAATGTTATTACCATAGACCTTTGTAATCTAAATTTTTGCCTCAGAATTAAGGGTGTTTGGGTTGTTTTTTATGATCCGCTTGTATGTCAGAGCAAGCAGTTCCAATTTGGGCTATAAACACCTATTTTATTAGTGCAAACCTTGTCTAGTGCTCTAGGGATCAGGGTTAGAAACCCTGGAAGGACTTTGTAAGCAGTAGGTAAGAGTGAGGGGTGAGGAAATTGTACAGTTGCATTTGGGAGACCATGCTATATAATGCTGTAATGCAGCATTATGCTGCATTCTATATTGCTGATACAATGTAGCCTAGTGGCCACATTTTTATGTAAGGGAATGGTGGGTAAAACTGTTATTTATAAGAACATGTCTCTTTTTTTTCTTTTTTTTTTTTTTTTTAAGATGGAGTTTTGCTCCTGTTGCCCAGGCTGGAGTGCAATGGCACGATATCAGCTCACTGCAACTTCCGCCTCCCAGGTTCAAGTGATTCTCCTGCCTCAGTCTCCCAAGTAGCTGGAATTATAGGCACCTGCCACCATGCCCAGCTAGTTTTTGTATTTTTAGTAGAGACAGGGTTTCACCATGTTGGCCAGGCTGGTCTTGAAATCCTGACCCAGGTGATCCACCTACCTTGGCCTCCAAAGTACTGGGATTACAGGTGTGAGCCACCGTGCCCGGCCTTTTTTTCGTTTTAACCATATGTTAAAATGAGTTAAATTCAATTGCCCCAAGCACTAGAAGTCACAAAGTTGGCTTTTGAGGTCCTCCTCTTTTTCACTTTACTTTTATAGATGGAATGGCTATACAGAAAAATCTCTCTTACTCTCTCTGTCTCTCTCTTTCTCTCTCACACACACACAGACACATACAAACCCCTTAGGATATAATATTAAAGTGAACACGTTTACCTGGGAACTCTACTGGGTACATTTTTCCCATTGAGTGCTTATTTTGGAACCAGGTAGAATGCATGTGGTAATTTGAAGATTAAATAACAATTAATATGAGTAGTATAGACAGACTAGATAAGTTTATCCAGAATACTTTAGAAACCCAAAAGTATTATGAATATTTTTCTAAAGTTCTCTAACATCACTTAGGGTCATACAGACTAAGGTGCCTGTTTATGTGCATGTGTGTGAGAGAGAGTAAGTAATGGGTAGTGGGTAATTTAAGAAATGGGTGAAATTGCATATGTTTACAATTTTAAATTTTGGAAACATTAATACATCAGGGATAGAAATATTAAGGTCTACAAAATTTAGTTGTACTGAATGGAACAGATGGGTTTCTGTGCTCTCTGGTGGTCAGTAGCCCACCTATTATGGGTCATCATAAAATCCAGTTTACCAGGATTAGATACTGATGAGAAAAATTGGTAAAATTTCAAGAATATTGTAATAATTCAGAATTTAACCACCTCTTATCCCGTTTTTAGATGAAAATTATGAAATGGTTTTGTCTTTCATTTTCAAAATGAAAAGAATTTGTACTTATTCTTTAAGGTTATTATTTCTGATATTGTTTACCCTAGCATGCCAGTGAAATGTTGACAGATATCCTTCAAAAATGGAATGGTCAAATACACTTGGAAAAAAGCAGTAGCAACATTGCAAAATTCTAACATGAAACATGAAATCCTGTAGCTAACCAAATTGTTTATGAATGATAAATTCAGTATACTTAGTATGAATGTGAAGATGAAATGCATGCCCTTTTAAGAAGGGTTAATTAATAAGTACAAGGCAGCATTATCCAAGCATATACCTGGTTATTGAGTACTGTAATGTAAAGGTTTTATTTCATTTTTTAAGCTACAACAGTCTTCAGTCCCTTGGTGTGTTGATATACTTTGTGAATCCATAGGAAAAGGTCAGAATAGGTACGTCTTCAAAGAACACAGTTTGAGAAATGCTTCTATTGATAATGTAACAATACTGTAGAATTTTAGAGTAGAAAACTAGTTATAATGAGTAGGAGAACTTGAATATGTTTGTAAATCAGTAAAACTCTATTGATAGTGAAATTCAAGAGAGGAAAAAGGTTGTTGTCATTTTAAGATAACCCTTTCTAACCATATATATTGAAAATAAGAATAGCTCCTTAAAAAGTATTTTGATTCCCGGTGGTTAGAATTTTGCAATGTTGCTACTAATATACAAGCAAAATAAAATTTTCTATCTAGTTTACACCAAATGCATCTTTCTGGTCCTTCCATAACCCCATCAAGACTGTCATTATGTTGATCAGATCTCTCTATTTGCAAATGCAATAGGCTATTATATTGAACTTGCAACAACTTAAAACCATACGTATTTTTAAGTCCAGAAAACCTTCACATTATTCAGATTTCTGCTAATGGAAAAGCTCCATTAACTAGCACTTCTATATAAATAGGGTACATAGATAATTGATGATGTTCACAATGATTATTCTGAGGCACTGCAGGATCATCAAGTGCGTCTGACTCATCAGAGGAAAATTAAATTACATTCGGTGTCGTTTCAGTGTTGAGTGTATATTATCTTTCTTTTATTCTTAGAAATGGATCATATGTGCACAGTCTCTATGGTAACTCCCTATAAGCCAGAATATGTGATTAACCTCATTTTCCAACCATGCCAGATAATAGGGAATTTATTGTATGGGGTTCATCATAGCTGTCCTTTATGCAAATTCAACTTTTACTTTTTACCAGAAAAACAGCCATGTTTTAAAAGTTTTACTTCAGCACTGAGTAGACACACACAAATATTTTGGTCATTTGGATTGAACTGAATTCTCAAGATTAAAATGCGATATTATATTTGGGGAGGCATTACAGTACTCAATAACCAGGTGTATGCTTGGATAATGCTGCCTTGTACTTATTAATTTACCCTTTCTAAAAGGGCATGCATTTCATCTTCACATTCATACTAAGTGTACTGAATTTATCATTCATAAACAGTTTAGCTAGCCAAAGGATTCTGTGTTTATTCTTCAGATTGATACCAGAAATATTCAGACATGGATATGGCTAAAGGTTTATACTGGCTTCTAAGCAAGACTCAAGAATATTCAAAGCTTTCTTTCAAAACTGCATAAAACTAGTTTGTTCCTTTAAACAAGTCAATTTACATCAGAGGTATAGAGAATTCACAATGTTATGTAATGAATGACTTCCACTATTATCAATTACATGGTAATATTTTCTTTTTGGTAGAATGTTTCACAGAGCTCCAGACTGGCACCATAAATTAGCCAGTAAGAAAAAATGTTTAATCATTTGCAGATGATAAATTTGAGACACTGATAAGAGACAAAGTTAAATTAGGTCAGAACTGAGATTACATTATTTACCTATCCTGATATCTAGGCAGGGATAGATAATGTCGGTCATTGACCTCAGAGAGATCTCTGATTCAGGTTATAAGCAAAATGAACAAAGAGGCAGTGGAAAGGGAAGCTGGAGCAGAACGTGGAGACGTAGCACATGCCCAGAAATGAGGTGTTTCATTTTGTACTGTGTTTCTTTTGCTTTTCAAATTACAGAGACAATATAAATAGGCTGTTAAAACTATCACATAGTCTAGAAATGTAAGGTCAATTTAATTTGATCTTGGCTAATGTATTTATTCTTTAATAAACTTTTTATTTTGGAATGATTGTAGAGGTACAGGAACGTTACAAAGATAATAGAGAGTTCCCACATACCCCTCAGTCAATTTCTCCCATTGTTAACATCTTATAGTACCATGGTACATTTGTCACAATGAGGAACCCAGTATTAGTATGTTACTGTTACCTAGACTTCAGACTTTTTTCAGATGTCATTAGTTTTTCCACTAATGTCCTTTCTCTGTTCTAGGATTCCATCTAGGACACAATATTCACTGTGTCTCCTTAGTCTCCTCAGGTCTGGGCATTTTCTTAGACCTTTCTTGCATCCCATGACCTCGACAGTCATGAGGAGCTATAGCCAGGTATTGTGTAGTATGTCCCTCATGCCTTCATAAAGTAAGTTTTTCTGCATCTGTACTTAGTTATCTTTGTAGCCTAGTGAATAAGTGTTGCCATTAATAGCAGGAATATTTTTTCCCCTATAGACATTCGTCTTATTTATTACAATTTATTTCTGGAAATCACATTGTAAAGTAACTCTTAAAAGTAAATTGACTTTGCCAAAGAATCATTGTTGTGATTGGGGTTATGTTTGTAACCAAAGACTTCACATCAAAAATCTATTACATATTTGACCAGTGTATCTCGATGATTACCTTTTGTAAATATTTAAATGAAAAAAATTTAATTCCAAGTAATAAAATTTTAGGTCATCAAAGGAATGTCAAGAGAGAGTCTAGCCTTGTTCCCAAACCACGTTGTGTCAGGATCACTGTAGAGCATTTATAGTACATATTCTGGGGCTCTGAGTATGGGAATTTGGAGTCTGGTGGGCGTGTGTGTTATGGTAGAGCTCTTGCAGAGAGCTTCTCAACAAAGGTTGAGAATTCCTGGCTTAATAATCAAAGGACTTAAGTTTCAGGATCGGAAAATCCAGAGCTCTGGTATTTCTGGTTGGGCCCGTGAGTAAGAAAGGTTGTTATTCACATTCCTCTACATGGAGTTTTAAAAGGGGAACAGTTTTTCCTGATTTCCCCATGTGAAACTGAAAGAAAAGCAGTCCATGCACATTGTCTAGGAGGTTGGAGCTGTTTGGGAGTTTATACTTCTCAGCCTCTATACTCTTCCACACCTCCCTAAACTGCCTGAGGAAAATGGTGTGGAGAGGTTGAGAGATGAGAGCTAATCAGAAAACAGTGCCTGGAACAGCTAAAATCCATTGAAAAAATGTTATTTTGTAGTCTTATGCTTGGGGAAAGGGGCATTGACTGAAGGATCCCAAATATTTGATTTTCTAAAAAATAACATTATATTAAATTTGTAGTGAGGTATGCTGTCTTTTGGGGAAAGATCTGCCTCTTCACTATTCTTTTCTTATGCCAACATCAATACCAATTGATTTTTTTGGAGTGGTAGGCATCTTCATGAGGCCCCTTAGGTAATGAATAATTGGGGACAGTACTCCACACATTTTTCAGGAAGATACTAATTTGCTACACAAAAATTTTCCTTATTCATTATTCTAAACATAATTCCTAATCCAGGATAATTGGGTCTCTCTCAAAACAGGAGATAGGTTGTACTTAATCTTTTGAAAATTAACAAGTATAAAAGTAGAATTAAGTCTTCTAATTGAAGACAGTATCTAATAATTTTAGCTTTTATTTAAATATTTTTCCATTTGTCCTGCTTCTGGTCACAGTGACAACTAACTTTATGGTAAAAGTCCATAAATAAAAATTAAGTTTTTTTTTTTTTTTTTTTTTTTTTTTTTGAGACAGAGTCTGTCTCTGTGCCCCAGGCTGGAGTGCAGTGGCGCAATCTCGGCTCACTGCAAGCTCCGCCTCCCGGGTTCACGCCATTCTCCTGCCTCAGCCTCCCGAGTAGCTGGGACTACAGGCGCCCGCCACCACGCCCGGCTAATTTTTTGTATTTTTAATAGAGACGGGGTTTCACCGTGGTCTCGATCTCCTGACCTTGTGATCCGCCCGCCTCGGCCTCCCAAAGTGCTGGGATTACAGGCGTGAGCCACCGCGCCCGGCAAAAAAATTAAGTTTTAATAAAAGTTAATATCAGTTGAAGACAATGTTTCAGGGGACTAAGATTATGGTATCCTATTGAGAAGTATCAAGCAGCCAAGAATATTTCAGAGCCATTGATTTCCAAAAATACATAACTATTTCTTATTGTTAAATGATGCCACCATACTAACTGAAAAGTGAAATGTTTTGTATTTCACACAACTAATGTCATTTTCTTTCAACTCTGGCATGGATTCTGTGACTTTATGCAAATCATTTTGCTTTTTAGTCTGAAACAAGTAGCAATATAATCAGTTGATAATCATCAACTTTACTCACTGAATTACTGTATAGGGTATCCAAGAATGTCAAATTACTTTAAAATGGTTGTACAAATAAGAAATAATTGTGTACTGCCCCAAATCACTTATTTATTAATTTGCAAGTTATTACTCTTGCATTCTTAAAGAATGAAGTTTGTGCAATGACTGATTTACACAATTTTCTATTTAAATGCATGAAATTAATGAAAACAAAATGAGAAAATAATTAATGCTAATAATTTAGAGAGTTACAGTTTTCTTAAATTTCTACATAATACAGTTTATACGTAATAACTTTTCACTTAGTCTAATAATCATTAAATTGTTTTATGACTTTATTAAGGTCCTTTCTTGGAAGGATTATAGGGCCTCTATTTGAAGTCGATGCCCCCTCCTGTATAATTGCCTTTAGCAGCCTGCTCTCACCAAAGATGAGAATTCGCCACTTTCTTCCTGCATTCTCTGCATCTTAACTAGCAGAGTTGGGATTGTAGGCATTTTTCCAGTATGCCTGAAGCAGTGCTGTTATGAAGTATGTCCCTTCAACTCTTAAATGGAATACACAGTTTTAAATATGCCCATCATAGATGTATTCACACTTTAATACTTACAGGTTCGCATGTAGTTACAAGTTTGGGAAGCCACAAAAACAGAGCTATGTGCACACATCTTGGAGACTCAAGGGTCTCCTTCAAAACAGGAGATAGGTGTACCCAATCAGGGGAAGTTGAATCTCAGAATTTTTTTGGTTGAGCACCTTTTTGCACACATAAGCACTTTTAATATAACTCATCTAAGTTTCCTTTGAAATTGCAAGGAGTGCATGTGCATTGTTCAAACACAACCACTTAGAACACACACTATGGATACTTTTCAGACCCTAAATCAATGTAAGACATACAGTTGCTTTCTTATGCATCTTCTCCAAATTTCTTGCTAGTTTGTGTGTGGCATTTTTCTCAACCAGCCATCTCTTTTCACCTAGCCCAGCCCATTGTGATTTAGAAAGTTTAGCAATGTAGCAAAAGAGGAAAAAACAGAGACTAGAGAAGAAACGATAAGGCATAGGTTGACTTTGATCAGTGGTTTTCAAGCTACATTCCACAGAAAGGTCAGTTGGGAGGGCCAACAAGAGAAGTAGGGGGCATCCAACAACCTCATCCAAATGCTGATTTTGAATTTGGAGGATCCTTAATCTAGTGCTTTTGGAAAACATGTGTCTTTTTTTACTAACCACTACCTATGTTAGAACACCTACATTCTATACTTTCTTTTGTATTTTGTCGAAATGTGTTGATTCAATCTGCTAACAGGCTAGGTAGAGCTACAGATGGTAAGGAACAAGGAAGTGCTTGTGTGTGGTGTGTGCCTATGTGTAGAGGGTGCACTGTATTCGTTCTGAGTGTAGAATAGACCCAGATCAGTTATACCTGAGTAGATAAAGTAAAACACATCCTCCCACCCTGTGCCAGATACCCATCTAATTGCATTTTGACTTCTGTAGTAAAGATGTTTGCCTTGCCATCTTTAAATGTAGAACTTATTCCCTCTTCGTAGTTTATAAATTGATCTTTCTACTTTTGTGACCAAAATCAATATAAATACATAGTGTGAAATTCTGAAAGAACAAACAAGCTAAAAAAGAAATACTCCTCTAGCCTACACAAGGATAAGGCTGATAAGTAACAATAAAAAAGAATATAATCACTGGGATGAATTATTAAGTAACTTCCTCAAATTGTGTTAGAGTTTATTATTTTCTTAGTAATATCTTTAAAGTGGAACTGAAACATTGAAAAAAAATCGCTCAAAGGTGTTAACTATAGATTAAATTAAGAGTTTAAACAGTATTTAACTAGCACGTACTGTTTTCCACTTTAGATTGTTGTATCTGGAACATAATATTTGCCTGGCTGAAATAATATCAATGGTTTTCAAACTGTTTCTTACAGATTTCTTAGAATTGCTGCAGGGGCCAGCATGAGGGACAAAGAAAACAAAGCGGACAGGATTCCTAACTCCCTTGTTTCAACCCAGGCAACCTCACATTTATCTCTTTTGTACATCACAGTTCTGCTTAGGGTTTCAATTAAGAGAAATCCCAGTGCTAAAGAGAAAACAAAAAACTTTGAAAATCCCCAGCATGGATCAAACTTTATTACAAAGGACTGACTCTTAGAGTTTCTTCCATACAGAACCTAAATTGTACATTTTCATAAACTAATTTTAATATCAAAATGTGAAACTAAATCTGTAAGTTAATAAATGTGTATACTTTATAATGCTTACTGCTGAGGATACTAAACAAAATATGATAGTTCTTACTGTTAATATACTTTGGGACAATTAAATATTATGTACAGAGAATACAATGACAATCAGCATGTGAATGAAAGCATGCTAAATGGTAACCTAATTGTGGGTTGCTTAGAGAGTAAGGATGCATAGGGAGGTGGTTCTTGAGATTTTTTAAATTAAAAATAATACATTAAAAATTTTAATAACATTTCTTATGGGAATTTTTAAATTATAAGAGTAATGCCTGTATGCTGTAACAAGTTCTGAGTTGAGTTTGCAAGGACAAATGGGAGCTGATTGGGTACAGGACATGGTAGTAGCCATGGTGGTTGGTTGTCGGCTTCAAGCAGACATGGGGCACTCCATGTAGGAGCGAGATCTATTGTGGCTTTCCAGGCCACATTAAGAAATCTGAAATTTAATCTGCAGATAGATACAAGGAAATACTTAAATGTGTGTTATTTAAATGACATAATAGATCTGTGTCTTAGAACACTGGTCCCCAACTTTTGGCACCAGGAACTGGTTTCATATCAGACCAGGTGTGGGGGATGGTTTGGGGTGATCCAAGGGCATTGCATTTATTATGCACTTTATTTCTATTATTATTACATTGTAATATATAATGAAATATTATATAACTCACCATAATGTAGAATCAGTGGGAGTCCTGAGCTTGTTTTCCTGCAACTAGACAGTACCATCAGGGGGTAATGGGGAACAGTGACAGATCATCAGGCATTAGATTCTCATAAGGAGTGCACAACCTAGATCCCTTGCATACACAGTTCACAATAGGGTTCACGCTCCTATGACAGTCTACTACTGACACTGATCTGACAGGAGGCGGAGCCCAGGTGGTAATGCGAGTGATGAGGAGCAGCTGTAAATACAGATGAGACTTCGCTGGCTCACTTGCCACTCACCTCCTGCTGTGGAGCCCAGTTCCATGGCCCAGGGGTTGGGGACCCCTGTCTTAGAAGAGCATTCTGACAGCAATGTGCAGAGTGGATTATAAGGGGACAAGAATGTAAATGAGGAAACAAGTCAACCCCCTTACAAGGATCCAAGTGAGAAATGATGATGGCTTCAACCAAGTTAGCAATGGAGATGGGGAAGAATGGGGCAGATCCAAATAAGACGAAAAGAAATGTCAGAAGTCCCTAAGTGGTTGGATGTGGAGACTGAAGGAGAGGGAAGGAACAAGGATGACTTCTGCATTCTGCCAATGCATCTGGATGCATGCCTGACATGAAGATAAAAGAGCACAGATGTTTGGGATAGTGAATGAAGGTGGTTATATATGTTGTTCCATGAAAATATGTGAGCATGTGTATATCTTCTAGGCCTGGATCTGAAAGTGTATAGGTTAAGAGCACAAGCCACTGTGTTCACATCTTAGCTACCATGTCCTAGCTATGTAGCCTTGGATCTCCAAGGCTATTTCTTCACCCATAAAATGGGAAAAACATTAACACCTACCTCTTAGGGTTGTTGTGAGGTACTTTAGAGTATAGCCTGTAGTAAAAATTTCATGCATGTTATCAAATATTGTTAATTTTTATCTTCCTCAGACCTCAGTTTCCTCATCTGTAAGCTCATGAAAGGGGAGGGGAATTGTGCTGGATTACATGACTGGGGTCAGTTACCAATAAAGTTTTTCATTCTAGTATGTCTGCTCTCTATTTACAAGTGTGTAAACAAACAGTTTTACTCAAAAATGTTCATCATTTCTAGGAACTTGCCACATCAGACTCAGATTCCCCAACAGCAGACTACAGGTGAGTGCTAAGAATAATAAATTGATGTTTATGAATGAATCTACAGATTAAAAGATAATTATGGCACTATATAATTTATGAAGCTTTAGCTTCACCAAATAAGGCAAAACACTTGTGTCATTCCTTAATCAGACTTAAAACTTCAGAATAATGGCTTAGATTATTACATAGATTGGCATCAGAATGATAAACACAGGGTAAATGATCTTAGAGCAAAAGCATCCATGGAGGTCCTGTCTAATTAAGGAAGACTGAATAAAACCCCTTCCTTCAGTGAAGCTCTCTATTCTTCCCCTTGGTATGAAAGATTCTTAGCTTGGATGCATCTAGGATTTGTCTCAGTAAGTGAGCAGCTTGAAACTGACTCTTACAAAAGAAAACCATTGTGACAAATCACTGAGGCTTCAGGGGGATAAATGAGAAATGGCTGGCCTGGTTTTAAAGCCGCTTTAAAAAGCTGTTATAACATGACCAGTGACAACAAGATGGCAGACAATTCTCCTTGGACTATTCTATTTCCCTAAGACTTGCTTTCTTTATTTCTTTCAAGTGTCCCTAAAAATTTTCCACAGCCAATTATTTCATTCATCTCTATACTGAGTAGATAACTTATTCATGATTGTCTTCTAATTAGTGGTTGATTCCTAGTTCTAATTGCCAGGCAACCATTAATGCCTTTGTAGCTCTTTTGGAAAAGCAAGAGAAGTTTTAAAAATGTAAGTTGGGTGTGGAATTCTGAGTATGAATGGTGGCATTGTGGTAGGGAAACTGTTAAAGTAAATCTCTTAAAAACTTCAGGCACATACAGAAATGTATTGGATGTTTTCATTCAGAAATTATCTTCTCTATTACTGCTTTCGCGAATTTAAGGAGATTTTCGTTTGACAACTTTTCAAAGATTTGAGGCAAGTATAATGAAATTGTTCATCAGATTTTAATTACAAGATAATGTTTATCAGAATTTTCCATACAATTTTGATTACTTGTTTTAATTAAATGCTAACATGTTTCAACAAGACTGTTCAATATATTGATGTGTTGGTGCTACTTTGTAAGCATTCAGGAGATTGATGAAGGAACAAACTTTGTTATAAAAATGAGTAACCTAAAGAGAGAAAAAAGATAAATGAATCCCTACTACCACTAATTTCATGGTTATGTTTTTAAAGAGGAAAATTTCTAAAAGAAGACTTCTATGATAGAAATGATAGAACTTCTTTGTTATTAACCTTGTAGCTTCCATCTCTCCTACGATGTCTATCTTCTGATTCTTAATTATTTCAGGCAGGGAGTGAGTAGGAAGGAGGCAATTTCTAGAAAAATAGTAAATATTTATTTTGAGTATTTAAAAATCCAGATTTTACTTACTCACTAGGAGAATTACGAAACTTGAGTAGATGATATTAGAGCAATTTGTTTAGTAGTCACATAGATATTTTACCAAGTGCTCTTGTTAACTTGCTACATTTTAGTAATACAGAGCATTTCCAAATACAAGGACAATTTATGCCTAAACAAATATAAGAGCCAAAGAGTTTTCCTAGGGGATTTTAAGGTTGTTTAACCCAATTTATAAAATTATTTTTCTGAAACAGATTTTAGGGAGCAGGTATTTTGCTTGAGTCAAGAAAGTTTTGTTCTCCTTTTTAGTTAACACTAGAGCCTATTACCTTGTTTTCTTACATTTTTCTGCAATTTGGATCATACTATTGACTAAAGTACACTATCTCCTCTTGGTTGTTTTGTTGTTATTGTTGTTTTTTCAGTGAGTCCCCAAATATCTTAAGTGCCAAAGGGAGAGAGACCACCCTAGCATTTTTTTTATAACTATGAAAGATTGGTGTGTTTGTGCTTCTGGTACATTTAAAGCTAAATGGAGGCCAGGTGCAGTGGCCCACGCCTGTAATCCCAGCACTTTGGGAGTCCAAGGCAGGTGATCACCTGAGGTCAGGAGTTTGAGACCAGCCTGGCCGACATGACGAAGCCCCGTCGCTACTAAAAAAATACAAAAATTAGCTGGGCATGGTGGCATACACCTGTAATCCCAGTTATTTGGGAGGCTGAGGCAGAAAAATCACTTGAACCCAGGAGGTGGAGGTTGCAGTGAGCTGGGATCGCACCATTGTACTCTAGCCTGGGCAACAGAGTCAGACTCTGGATTTAAAAAAACAAACAAACAAACAAAAATCTAAATGGAGGCATGCCTCCTGGAGAGAAGGGCTAATGGGCAGTTTACATTCCTTATTTCCATTCTGTTCATTTAAATGAAAAACTTTATTTCTCAATTTCTAAATTATTCTATCTGCAAATGCATGGATTCAGTGCTGTTTATATATTTTTTTGAGTACAGCAGCTTTTCTTTTCTTTTACCCCTGATTATCCTAATACTGCAAAGAGGCAGCTACATTTATGCGATTGTCATGAAACAGTAACTGGAGTTTTCCAAGTACCATAGAACATTATGTGCGTGTCAGTTTTCTTTATGAAGGTAATTTAGGCACAAGAGTTTGCATCTTGGATATCAAGTAATTTTATTTGTAGCTACCTATATGGAATTTATCAGGGGAAAGTATATCTTGAAGTTGTTTTTTTTTTTTTTTTTTTCATTTAGTTACTTGTTTTCTTTTAAATTCCCATCAAAGCTTTAAGAAATGAACTAGCTGCTGGTGTTGTACTCCTGGACTTGAGCACTAGCCGGGATAATAGAGCAGTTAAAAGCTGACAATCGCACTAACTTTTGGACTAGGCCCAAACCATTAGGTTTGATGCCCCTTCAGGTTTTCTCGTTTTCTCTGCCCTACCAGCCCACATGATATTTTTTTAAAAGCCACAATTAAAAGGTACAGTTATATATCCTGCAATCAACCTCATTCTTTTTGTTTATTGTGGGAGGAATTTTCAGACTGTTCCTTTTGGGAAATACAAAATATTATAGCCTTGGTCCAAGAAGGAGAAGACTAATTTAGAATTTTTTCTTTCGCTTTCTGTTTTTTAAAAAAACGAAATACAGAGAAATAATGCAATGTAATTATTTTACATTGTATTAAGAAGATGGAAACTTTCTCCTTGCCATAATTTGCTTTGCTCAAAATCTAAAAGTATACATGCCCTGACTAACTCCTGCCTATATTCATTCTTACACATTGCAGGTAAATGGTATCCCTGAAGAAAGAAAACTGACTGAAGCAATGAATTTATAATCAGACAATATGGCAGTTATATCACATTTCTTTTCTCTTCCAATAATGCATGAGCTTTTCTGGCATACGTTGTGCATGTTGGCAGTATTAAGTGTATCACCAAATAATACAACATAACTTTCATTTTACTAATGTATTTTTTTTGTACTTAAAGCATTTTTGACAATTTGTAAAACATTGATGACTTTATATTTGTTACAATAAAAGTTGATCTTTAAAATAAACATTATTAATGAAGCCTAATGACTGGTGAAATTTACTTCAATAAAATATTTGCTTCCTATTTAGTAGAAATCTTTTAATTGCTAGAAACAGGTTTATGTGTTCATTCTCATTCCACAAGACTTTATTTAATGCTTCCTATAAATATACAAAATGCCTGTGCCTCCGTGTTCCAGTTGAGCAACCCATTTAAATAATACTTTAACTCTTGTGGCCTGTAAATCCTGTTGTTTTATATACCACTTGGAGTGTTTTTGAATAAACCTAGTTTTATGGATTGTGAAACTGATGACACCCAATTCATGCAGGGCAGCCCAGGTTGCATACTTACCTGACTTCATAATCAGATATTTGGTTGTTTTTTTTTTTTTTTCTTTAGCTACACCTACTGGAATGGGAGGATATTTGGATCTAGAAGCAAGACAGGAGCTGTTACACAAAAAGAGAATAGTTACTGCTAATGTGACATCAGTTAGCTCCAAATCCCCAGAGTACTTTACATAACTCCTTTATGTTCAAGTCTCTATAGCTTTGGTCAGTTTCATGCATCTTGGATACTATTGGATCAGTGTGGCTATCATGTCACCTGGCAGGGCAGCTTTCCTTGCAGACTGGACTAGCTGGAAACCTTCTCTTAATCTACTCTGGGAAAATTTTTGTGTCACCTATTAGGTGGCCAGAGGTCACACAAATTCCAAAATCCAGAAAGATTCCCTGTTAATGTTAGGTACCGTAACTTGTTTTCCACTTAGGGAGAATACTCTGTCACATCATTGACATTAGAACCTCCCTCTTCTTTCTAGGACAGAGGATGTAGGTTCTCTTATTTCTTAAAGATGTATCTCTTACTCTAATTTCTTCCTAAGTTAACTAGGGCATTGCCACTTGCTGTTCTACAGGAGTAATCAGCTTGAGGTTGTAAATGTATTGCAACAGAGTCATGGCCTAGGAGGAATGCAGTGTTGTCAAGGCTCCAGAGGACCAGATTTTGGCACAG